GTATAAACTACTTGGAGTTTGTCAAGTTTCCTGGATGTGCAAATTAATGTTTTCCAGTAAATTTGGGAATCTTTCAGCCATTATTTTTTCTGCTGCTTTTTCTCCTTTCCTTCCAGTACTCCCATTACATATATGTTGGTACACTTAATAGTGTCCCACATTTCTGTGAAGCTTTGTTCATTTTCTTCATCTTTTTCTTTGTTCTTTTGCTTGCATAATCTATATTGATCTACTTCAAGTTCACTAATTCTTTCTTCCACCAGTTCAAATCTACTGTTGAACCCCTTTAGTGAATTTTTTATTTTAGTTATTTTACTTTTCAATGCCAGAGTTACCATTTGGTTCTTTTTAATGCTTTCTATCTCTTTATTGATATTCTTACCTTCCTTAACTTCTATAATCATAGTTTTCTTTAGATCTCTGAACATATTTATATGGCTAATTTGAAGTCTGCCTATTAAATCTGGCATCTAATTGCTCTCATAAGCAGTTTCTGTCACTTGCTCTTTGGCTAGTGTATCAGTCATACTTTGCTATTTGCATGTCTCATATTTTTTTTTTGTTGGAAACTGGACATTTTAGATAATGTAGCAGCTCTGAGTATTGGCACCCCCACCATGGGTTCTTTATTGTTATTTCCTTCTTTACTTTAGTGTCTGTCTGGATTGTTTTATTGAAGTCTATTTACTCCCCCCTTTTGCTCTGCAGTGTGAAGTGTTGATGTTGCTTCTTAGGGGTGCAGTCTTTGGTATGCCCGCAGTCATCCTAGGGTGATAGTAGTTTTGGCAGGGCTCTTTTTGTCTCTTTCTCTGACCACACCCAGCTATTAAGTTTCCACTAATTGCTGGCTGATTGCTCTGTTGTTTTTAATAATGTCCTGGGGCATAAATTGCTCCACAAACTGATCCACTCAAATTAGAGCTCCTTTGAAGGGATAGTTCCCACGATCCAATCCATATTTGAGATTTCTTCAGAACCCAGAATGGTTCCTTCCAGCTGTCTTATTTCCTTGATTCTCTCCAGCATGCTAGCCAACCTAGACCTCAACTTTTCCACACTGTTGCAAATGAAGTGGAGAGATTTGGAGCCCTCTATTCTATGGCCTTATTCTGTGGCCTGCTTCTCCCACAAGGCAAAATCTCTCAGCCACAGCTCTAGTACAGTGGGTGGGGACAATGATGTACTTCCCTCTGAGTGGCATCCCCAAGCCTCCTAGGTTTGCCTGTGCTAATGTAGAACCCCCATTCCACGAGCTGGGGCCAGGGCATTTGGGGCTTCAGTGTTCTTGGTGGCACCATACCCAAGGCATAGCCTCCATCCCTGGAAGGGGGCCACCTGGAAGAAGGGAGCCCTCACCTCTCAGCCATACTTTTCTGGAACTTAGCCTCAGCAACAGGTAGCTGGGGACAGGGTGAGAAATGCTGATGTCCCGTCCCTCACAGCAAGAAAGCCTAGCAGCTGGGAGCTGGGGCAGAAGGAGCTCTGTGTTCTTGGCTGTACCAGTCTGGTGTGAGTGACATCTGTGCTGGGACAGGATGAAGGGAGTGTATCTAGGCCCAAATACTATAGATACTTACTGAGTTTTAGTAGGTTTCCTTTAATAAATGCTTCTTCATTTGCTGTATGATCTTAAGACATTTCCAGAGATTTTAAATAAGTGCTTTTTTTGTTTCTTTTTTTAAAATTTTCACCCTCAGTTTCACTGAGGAGTAGGTTCATGTTGCTCTTCACATTGTCATGCCAGGAGTGGAACTCTTAGCTTTTTAACATGCAGTTTTGTTTCTGTTACTCCTAATTGCTCACAGTGGCCTTGTTAGCAGTCTATCTCCATAGTAGATTGTGAGTGGCTAGAAGGCAGTAGCCATGACCGTTATCCCTTGTGGAATCATGGTTGGCCCTAGTAGCATTTTGTATACTGTGGCACATACAGAATATCAGTTACTGACTATATCACTTTCTTTTGTGACTTGAAGTATCTAACTGTGCCCTCCTTTTTCCCTACACTCTAGTGCTGGAGTATTCCCAGAAAGGCGGGGCCTCTTTTTTATCTGCCATTGGTTACACACACACACAAGGAAGGACACTTGACCCATTTGAAGTTTTAGTCAAAAGCATTATGTATATTGACAATATAGGAGAGCTTTCTATAATATTCCTTGCAGTGTATATATAGATATAATTTTGAATTTGGCTAGTTGTTTTGGGGATGGGGACAGAGATAAAGTGAGAAAGAGGGAGAAAGCAGGCTGAAAAGCAATGTGGTTGTACTCTTCAAGGTGGGACATGCCTCACTTCTTTCTTCAGCCAACCATGTCTCATGCCTTTCAACCTTGGTTCTTGACAGTTGTGCCTTTGCTACTGTTTTTTCCTTTCCTGCTCCTCCCTGGCTGGTGAGGGCCCCATGCCTACCCCCTTTGTTTGGGTGGACATTGGTAATATGGCCACATCTGAAACTCCAGCCAATCGTGTACTGTTCATCCTCAGCTGAGTGGACTTCCTCCTAAGGCTAATATGTGGCCTTACCCAGTCTTTGACACGCTCTGTATTGGAAAATTTGGTGGTATTCTTCTTTCATCACTCTAGATCATTTGAGAATATTCTTGACATAAATCATTTGATTTGTATGATTGGCCTGCTGCTGCTGCTTAGGATCTGTAGGAAAGTGTTGACCGCCCTCTGGGATGGGTGGGTGTGTGTGTGTGTGTGTGTGTGTGTGTTGACTGTTTCATTCAGTGTTGTTCTCTTTCCCAGGATGCTCCAAAATGAAACGTCATAGAACTTTCAGCACCAGTGACAGTTCAGATGAGAGTGAGTAGAACCAGCCAACAGCTGGTAACCTCTGTATCTATACTCCTTAAGGATTTCTTCTTTGACTTGAGGACAGGTTGTTTCATGCTTCCTTCAATGATTAAAAAATAATGATTTTAGGAAAGAAAGCTTGGGATATCATTTTTCTTATTCATTTAAATTTCATTAGAAATTGATAAGATAGGTGGGGAAATTGGGTTTCTATAGCATATAGCACTTGTTTTTCACTTTTCACTTATGTAAACAACAAATGCCAAATCTAATGATTTAATAGTGCTTTTCTAGAAGGGAAGACAAGTATGAGGGCATAAACCATAGGTCCTATAATTCTAATTGTAGCTCAGGTACTAAATGTTTGAAATGTTCTTAAACTCCATTATGAGGCTTTCTTGGTTATAATTTCACTTTCTTCAGTGTTATATATGAGATCGCTGTGTTCTTCTCCATCATGTCTTTCATATTCTCTTGGATGACATTTAGTTATATGACATTTAGTTATATTAGCAGGTAATAAGTCTCAGTATTTTTTTTCTAATTATCTTTTGCAGGTGCTTCCACTTCTCTTACTGGCTCAATGTATAGGAGCAAGTCAAAAATTCCAAATGAACACAAGAAATCTGCTGAGGTGAGATCAGATATTCAATTTTTAGATTGAAAAAAATAGACAGCTGCCTTCTGCCTACATATCTGCAATATCCAGATTTTGGAGATGCAAGGGAGTAAACTATGTGCCAATGGATAGGCTTGTTTCTGATGAGTTTTTATTTTGTTTTTCAAGAAAGATTGCACTTTCTTTTCCCTTTGGGAAAACAGTAACCTTCACAATGTGATTTCATTTTGGCAATTACACTTAAATGCCTGGCTTTAGAATATAAAGCCGCCCTTTAGCCAAGAAGTCAAAGGGAGCTAGACTTGGGGGATTGGGAAGGACCCAAAGATCTGGCCTATGATTGTAAAAAGCTAAGTTGGTTAGGTGGGAGGCAGTGCAGGAAAGGGTGGATGAGGAGATTGTGGATGGAGAAGGGAAGGACCAGGTTCGAGATCTGGGCTGTGGTGGGTCCTCACAGCCTTCAGAACACTGACAGCCCAAGAAGAATGTGTCATTCCTGATGAGACTGGTCATATTCTGCCCTAATGGCAGCAAAGTGCCAGAGTGGCACTTGGTAATGGTTTAGTGGATCCTGTAGACTTTTTTTCTGTGATAATTAAATAAGGAGAAATTGACCTGTATGTGTTCACTTCTACTATGAGTAGACTTTCTTGGCTACAAAGGAAAAGAGTTTATTTGTTAACTATTGCTGCATTACAAATTATCACAAAACTAGTTGCTTAAAGTAGTACACATGTATTCTCTCAGTTTCTGTGGGTCAGGAGTCTAGCCACATTGTGACTAGGTTCTCTTCTCCAGGTCTTTCAAAGCTACAGTGTGCTAGCTGGGCTGTGTTCTTATCTGGAGGTTTCATTAGGGAAGAATTGGCTTCCATCAGGTTGTCAGCAGAATTAATCTCCTTGCAGCTGGAGGACTGAGGTCCCTCTTTTTTTTGCTGGGTTTTGGAGGAGGACCACCCTCCACTCCTAAGGGCTGTTTATAGTTCCTTGCCATGTGGCCTTCTCCATATATCCTCTCAAAACATGGCAGCTTACTTTTTCAAAGTCAGTAAGGGGAAAGTGTTTTACTCTAGTCTAAGACTTAGTCTTATATTAACATAGCATAATCATGGAAGTGACGTCCCATCACATTTTTATACAGACTTCTGTTAGTTAGAAGCATGTCACAGGTTCTACCTGCCCCCACAAGGGGGGAATGGGGCATTACTTTAGGGTGTCAGCCAGAGTGAGCATCTCTCTTTCTCAGAGGTCACTTTTCATTCCCATCTTTTGCTGGGAATCTTTCTGGGCTAGGTAGAATATCAGAGTATATTTATGTGTCTGTGTCAAGAAAAACTTGTGGAATAAAATGCACATAAACAGGAGAACAAATTTCCTATCTATGCAAAGGAGGCCTTCACTACAGAATGGTGAGAAAGAAACCTTGCCACTTTCTTATTCAGGACAGCTAGTCCTAGAATATAGTGACTCAAGAGCTTTGGTTCTTAAGACCTGTTGCCTCTAGGTCAGTGAGAGTAGCAGTCTTTCGTTGCAAAGCGTAAGGAGAACTGAGCACCTGGCAGCAAATTTTTTCACTTATATTTTACATGATGTTATAAAAGAGAGAACCTGATATTATACAACAATATAGAAACCTTACCACCATTTAGGTTTGTTTACACCCCCACCCGCCTTTATTATATAATTGTCCTAAGTATTTTCTGTACATACATTGAGAACTACATTAGACAATGTTAGAGTATTTGCTTCCAACCATCAAACATCACTTCTAAAACTCCAGAGGAGGATAGGCTATTATTTTATTCCTGATATTCCAACTTTCCTTTTGTTCATTTATCTTCTGCTTGAAGAACTTCCTTTAGCCATTCTTTTAGGGTAAGTCTTCCGGTGATGAATTCTTTTAGTCTTCCTTTATTTGAGAATGTCTTGGTTTCACCTCCATTCCTGAAGGATATTTTTACTTGATAGAATTCTGCTTTGACAACACTTTTCTTTCAGTACTTGAGAAATCTGCTGTCATTCAAATAGTTGCTCCCTTGTGGGTAATTAGTCATGTCTTTTCCAGTTGCTTTCAAGATTTGTCTTTGTCTTTTGTTTTCCAAAGTTAGATTGTGATGTTCCTGGGCATGAATTTCTTTTGGTTTATCCTTTTTGGGGTTTGATCAGCTCCTTAAATCTAGATTTATATCTTATATAAAGTTTAGGAAATTTTCAGCTATTATTTCTTCAACTATTTTTTCAGCTCCACCTTCTTTCTCTTCCTCTTCTTGGAACTTCAATTTCATGAATGTTAGCTCTTTTGTTATTTTCCCACAGGTCCCTCAGATGCTTCTCTTTTTTTCAATGTATATTCTTTCTGTTGATCAGATTAAGAAATTTTCCATGGTTCCCTTATTTTTTATTCTGTTAATTCCATTTTTCTATTGAGCCTATCCTCTGAGTTTATTTCAGTTATTGTATTATTCCATTTCAATATTTTTACTTGGTTATTCTTTATATCATCCATATCTTTGCTGAAACTTTCAATTTACTCATTTCACAAAAGTATAATTTCTTGCTGAAGCATTTTTGTGATGGATGGTTTAAAATTCTTGACAGATAATTCTAACATCTGTGTCATCTTGGTGTTAGTGTCTACTGTCTCTTCTCATTCCCAGTTCTTAGTATGATGATTTTCCATTGTATCCTGGACTTTTTTGGTATTATGTCATCCAACACTAAGTCTTGTTTAAATCTGTTTTATCAGGCCTCCATAGTAACCAGGCTAGTGGGGAAGAGGGTGCTGGCTCTTGACCACCAGTTGCAGGATTCCTAGACTGTTATCCTAGTTCTGTTATCTCTCCAGGAAAATAGTTCTGTTATCTCTCTAAGAAGGGGAGGAGTTACTCTTTACTCTCCTTACTACTTGATGCTGGTGGAAATCCCCACCCTGTTGCCTCCCTGATAGCAGGGGAAGTGATGGTGGTAAGGGGTACCACATTACTGATGGGCTGTAGTGACAATTCAGGCTCTCTCCCCAGTCTCTGCTGATACCACATTGAGGAGGAGGCACACCTTGTTATTACTGGGTAGGAGTGGATGTCTCTCAGGTAATGTCCACTGAAACAATCTCCTCTTTAAATAAAACATTTTAAACATCTTTTTTGAAATATAATTCTCACACCATACAATTTATCCATTTAAAGTGTATAATTCAGTGGGTTTTAGTACATTCACAGAGTCACATAACCATTACCACAATCTAAATTTAGAACCTTTTCATCACCATAGAAAGAAAACCTCTTACCCATTAGCAGTTATACTCCAATCCCCCTATTCCCAGCCCCTACCACCCATTAATCTAATTTCTGTCTCTTTGTATTTGCCTATTCTGGATATTTCATATAAATGGAATCATAATATACAGCCTTTAGTGTCTGGCTTCTTTCACATAGCATAACATTTTTGGGTTCATCCATGTTTTAGCATCTATCAGTACTTCATCTTTTTATGACTAAATCATATTCCATTGTATGGATATATCACATTTTGTTTATCCATTCATTAGTTGATGAACAATTGGGTTGTCTCCATTTTTAGAGTATTATAAATAATGCTGTTATGAACATTCATGAAAGGTTAAGGTCGGTGGTGTGCGGGCAGGCTAAATAGCCATTTCAGACAGTGAATAAAGAAAAATTGAATTTATTTAAGGAAAGAGGGTAGGGGATGGGGGATATCTAGAGGGCAGGGCTACACAGCACTGAGCCAAAGGGTATTAGGTCCATGATGGCAGCAAAAGTATACCTGGGACAGTGAAACAAGGAAGAGCATAGAAGAGGCAACAAGAGAACCTAGGTTGGGCTGCTTCAGCTCACTGAGAAAGAAGTCAGAGAGAGAAGGGGACCTTGGAGACAGGTTCAGGAGGTAAACCTGGGACAAGCTGCCACTGCCTATTGCTCCCCTGGTTGCTCCCCTAGTGGGGGGCGTGCACTAGGTCCTTTGTCCTAAGTGCATTTATCTCTTATAGGTGGAAATCTTAGGGGAGATTCGCAATAGAATATTCATCAGCTTTCCAGATGTGCTCTTTCAGGGTTGTGGTCTCCACTGATTGGTCGGTGCCAGGGCAGGGGGTTATAAATCAATGTAGGTGGTTCTGAGGCAGCCACTATGGCCCCACTTGTCTGGTTTTGCTGCTTTTCTGAGCCTGGAGCTGAAATACAACTGAGGTTTAGATACTATCTTTAGGGAGGAAATGCTCAGGGGTCTAAACCGCATGACCAGCGATACGCTGGGGGAGGATAGGTTATTCAGAGGACAAGTTTCCTGTTTTCCCAATTTTGCCCCTTGCTAGGTAGGCATCTGGGGCTTTCTACCCTGGTAAGCTTCTGTACCCGAGTTTTCTGTACCTGGGTTTCTGTACCTGGCACATTAACAATTCATGTACAAGTTTTTATGTGGACATTATGTTTTCAGTTGTCTTGAGTAACACCTAGGTGTGGAATATGGTAACTGGGTCATATGGTAACTCTATTTAACCATATGAGAGAATTCCAGATTTTTTTCCAAAGTGGCTTCATCAGTTTACATTCCCATTAGCAACGTATGAAGGTGTTTGAAATTTGTTATTGCTATGGGTACCAGAGACGATTCCTCTAGTGACCTTGACTTAGGTCCCTTTGTGCTTGTCCTCAGAGAGATTGTCTTTTGCAGTTCTCCCAGCTGTAAACCACTGTTGTTATCACTGGACGCATTAGCATGGTGATGTAGGGCATGGGGGAGGGACGGTGGTCTTTGATCTTCTGATTACATCTTAGTCTTTGGGTGGCATAGTGGTCCTGAGTCTGGTGGTGGAATAGGGGAGGTGGACTTAAGGGATAGGGCTTTTTCGCCCCTGCCCCATTTTCCCCTGTCTACCTGTAGCAGGTATCCTCTGGTATTCTCAGTCTATGTCCTTGAGGTTCTTCCTTCTGTAGATTAATACTTTCTTCTCCTTTAGATAAAGCAGGGAGGCTGAGGCTGGGTACTTTTCCTTCC